CTATTAGCAGTCAGTTTGGTGTCTGATTTTGAGGGAAGAGTGGGATTTAGGTCTTACCAGGACAAAAGACACACACACACACACACACACACACACACACACACGAACTTAATTTAGAGCCAAATGGTTTTGAAGTTACAGACACATGGGCTCAGTTTACTTTCAGCTTTATGTGCTGAAAGCGGGTTTATGAAGAACGTTTATTGCCTGACAACATACAAGGCCCGCTTCAGAAAAAAATATTTCAAATATTTTTGTGAGATGTTAGCAAAAGTCTTGAATTCCCAGAACCAGTGACAAATGACTTTAACCTATTATTTCAAGCAGACCCAGGAGGGAGCTTACATAGTAATATATTTTAGATGACTGCCTTACAACATTTACATACTTATAGAATAAAACATTTAAACAGATTGTATAGCTTTCTCACTAATACAAATCTGTCTTGGCCAACTGCTATTATTAGCTGGCTTAGAAAGGCTGCCTTATTCCAGATTGCCTATGCGTTCTTCCCAGAGCCTTCCCAGACCCCAATGGGGTCTACGTTCTGCAGTTCTCCAAAGGCTCCCTCCACAAAGTAGGGAGCAGCACCAGCTCCATGTGCGGACACCATAATGAGGAAAGTCAGCTCAAAGAGGGAAGGATTTGGCCCTAATCACACAAATGGCAAAAGGCAGAGAAGACTCAAACTGCAGCTCTGTAAGCTGGGGTGCTTGAGCACCGCCTTTGGAAATGTCCTTCCCTGCCACTGATGAGGAGGAAAAGGAGCCCTCACCACATCCAATGCCAATAACAATGACTTTAGTCTGCACACAAAATATTTTACAATTGACAAAGAACTCCTATGTCCCATGGTTATCTGCTGGGGTGGAGTATGGGGTATGTGTTGATGATAAATATTCTCATAAGTTACTTCCTGGGAAATGCACAAACTCTCCTCTTAAGAATTTCCACAGAGCCCCCTGGGCTACCTCCGCTTTACCAGGGATGGGGCGGGGGTGGAAGAAGATCTGCAAACTGAAAATAAGGAGATCCTAGATGAGCAAAAGCCGGGAAAGCCTTCCTCACGCTGTTCTACATTCACTCTGTGAGGCAGGAGCAAGACAAGCTTCTTTCGGAAGAAGAGACTAAAGATCAGAGCGACTGAAACCCATTGTGAACACGGGATCTGGGTAGGGCCAGGTCTGGAGTTCCTTGAGATTTCAGAAGCCTAAGAAGTCTCCCTTGAGCACAGAGGTGTGCAGATGGCAGGTGGGTGCTGAAGTAGAGAAGCAGGCTACTGCCCATGAGTACCACTGTCCCCTGGAGAATCCCATGGCAACTCTATGAGACCAGGCACTGGGGTTCCACATACACTGAGCAAACCTTGAGAGGATCAAGATGTAAGGGAACAGCCTTAAAAGTGAGCAGGCCCCAAGCTGCTAGAGAGCCAGAGGGAGAAGATAAGACACATCAACCACACAGACTTTAGACCTAACGGAGGCGGTCATTTCAGTTCTCTGCCCATCAGAGGATCATTCCGCCAAGGACAACCGAATAAGGCACAGCACTAGTTACAGGCCGTTCCAGCTCTTCCCGCAGCGCACCAGCAGCAGAGATGGTGTCATTCATACCCGTGCTCACACAGCATGCAGCTCACCTTAGGGAGCAAACAAAACGAAACCAACAGCATTTCCAGAGACACAGCCTTCAAAGGCCTTTAAAATGTGCAAACCCAAAACCAGCCAAGTAGATTACGATCCAATGGGATGTCATGGCTGTAGGCAAAGGAAGGGGCCACAGACGCATAAGCGGATATTTACAAATGGTTAACATCCAGGCATCCTGGTGAATGCTTGCCATCCCAGCACTCTGAAGGCAGAGGCAGGAGAATAGCCACCAATGTGAGATAAGGATGTACTGAACAATGAGATGCTGTTTCAAGCACACACACACGCACACACACACGCACACACACACGCACACACACACGCACACACACACACATTCGCACACCACACTAAAACAAGCAAGCAAACAAACAAAAGGGTTCAATGTCAGACACATCTGGTGTCACTGTGACTAGTGAGGCCACATTAGAATGGCATAATGCATGAGGTCTTGACTGACCTAGGATGGGATGCTTGAAACCCAGCGCTTTTGAGATCACGCTAGTCTGTAAGTCCCTTAAGGGCTGCGCCACAGACATGTCTCCTGGCCTTTTGTGTCCTTCTGGCTCTATAACCCCTCTAATATCAAGGCAACAATTCTAGATTTGCTTTAACAATAGCAACAAAAAATACAAATGGATAACAAGAGGGCACAGACAGGCAGATTAGTACAGGAACCCTCGGAGGTGGTGAGGTGGGGGAGGCCGGAGGGCGCAGGGGGTTTCCACTTGAAGTCCTCCACCCGGCTCTCCCAGCTGTAGCGCTTGCTGTACAGCTTGGGCTGCAGCCTGGGCCCAAGGCTGGAACCTGCATCTTAGACACCTTGGCACCCCAGGCCTCGGGCCCAGAGCCAGGCCCTCGTCAGGAATGGGGAGGATGCTAGCCAAAGAGCTTTGCAGACGCAGCTCTGACGCCACCCGAAGCCTGCCTCAGCATTTCTTACCCAAGTGGCTTGGGGGGGTACAGAGATAGGGGAGGGAGTGTGCATCCCCTAGGGGTCTGAGCACAGTGTGAGCCGACAGCTAAAAGCACCAGGAAGTCTTAGGCTTGCTTTTTCACACCGAAACATCATCTGGTCTCTCCTTCCTCGTTTTCATTTAATATAAAAATAACGCCTTTCAAAAACTTGCTATTTTCCTTCAAGATATGTTCGGGTAAACTGTTTGTTTGGTGGGGATGTGTGCTTTTTTAAACCCTCTAGTTTTGGGATCCTCCTACAAGGCTTCACGTTGAACCCATGTCATGATAATGAGAAGCCCCTGCCCCCATCTTCTGTTTTTAGCTTTTTAAAAACACCTCACGATTTGGCTGGCTTGTATCTCTGCTCCATCATGCCGGGGCAACAGTTCCTGCCCAGGGAGGGGAACTAAAGATAAGGCACGTCACTGGCACTGTTAAAATTAGTGGTTTCCATGGCCTCCGTCAGTTGAGTTGGGTTCAGGAGACATGGGGCGCCAAGGAACTCACGACACAGCTGCAGCTGATGGCCTTGTATGGGTAGTTCCTGTGGCAACGCTTCTGCAGCTAGAACCGCCACCCTCACCACACTGACCCCAACTTCAGGCCACCAGAGGCTCCAGAGGAAGAAGGTCTTGCAGCTGGATATGGAGGCTCATGTTTTCAATCCCAGCATTCAGAAGGGCTCTGTAGTGAGTTCTACACTAACCTGGGCTACAGAGCTAAGACCTTGTTCCAAAAATGAAAAAAAAAAAAAAAAGAAGAAGAAAAAAGAAAAAGAAAACCAAAATGAATGATAAAGTCAGGGAGGAAGGCCTTTTAAAGTTCCCAGTCTGTAGAAGGGAGCTGAGGTGGGTGCTGCGTGTTCTCCAGTCAGTCCCCACTCCCTGCTTCTCTCGCCGCCGGTGGAGGGAGGCACTGCTTCTGAGCCTCTTCTAGATAAGGGACTTTCATGACTATGTTTCATGACGCAGAACTGACCACACTCAATTCATGGCAAGGCAGGTCTGGAGCAACACAAGGAAACGGGTCCAGACAGATAAGTGGGCTCTGCCTTCTGTCTGAAAAAGACAGTATCTCCAAACATCGAGATAAAGCTCACTCTACTAACTCAGCAGCATGATGACATCGCGGCCCGAGATACAGCCTCTCAAAGAGCAAGATAAAGCAAGCGAGTAGATGAACTCACTTGGGATGAAGTCCATCAGTGTGATTTCCTGAGAACTTCTGGGTTCAATGCAGTGGCTAGGGCCAGAGGGGGGTATGGGTGCCTTCTGGGCTGCTCAGGGCAATGGCTGTATGCTGGGACTGGTTGTGTGTGTGTGCTGTTGGTGGTGGTGTTGTTTTTGAGTTAAAAGTTGGCTATTTTTAAAAAATTAATCCTTAAAATTTCAAACTGTACAGACCATAAATATTATGTGTCTAATTCTTAAGACAAAGCATTTTAAAAATGCTTGTTTAAAACTGAGTACAATTCTTAATTAGATATTGTACCTAAGTTATATTTTAAGTATAAGGCAACAATACAGATAGAATTAAATAAATAAGACTCTAATGATGAGAAACCCACAGCATTTTCCATGCCAAAATCCATCTCCCACTTATCCAAATGCTTCTGAGAGAGCCCCCAGCCCACGCTGATGGCAGTGCTCCACTTTCTGGGGTACCTCAGAGATGTTGAGATTCACATCTGCTTATGGGAGCTTTGGAATACCATCTCCCACCCCGGTGGGGCACAGCCCATGGCCCAAGGCTCTTCCCAAGCCCATCTCCCCTGAATGGAGAGTAAATACAGAGATGGGCATTAAACAAAATGAATTTTTAAAATGGTGACCAAATGATAGGGACAATAAGGGCATGGGGAGCACGTGTGTGAACGCTGAACATCGTTCTGTATTAAGGAGAGATGAAAGCTGAATCAGACGCATAACTCACAGGGTGATAGCGGTGACAAGTCGAGCCAATAAAGGGTCCCAACCCCGGGAAGGTGGGCTTTTTATGTACTAATCTAGGCTTGCTCACAAGCTCTGAAACTGCACTCTTCACATTACAGTGACTAGAGAAGGCCAGGCCATGTACTCGGGAGTGAAACCCACAAGAGACCACAGTCTCTCCCTGGGGGAGGCCAGGGCGAGGACACTTTTCTCTTACTGTAATTCACCTCTAAGGGAAACTGTTGTTCTGAGTTAACAGGGCTTGGCAAGCGTCAGAAACACAGAATCTCACAGACAGATACAGGCAGGAAGAATCACAGTTCAACCCAGAAGCAGCACACAGAGGGAGCATCAGAGTCCAAAGGCATGCAGAGAAGCCAGCGGGGAGCAGCTGGGAGACAGGCAGGGCTGCCCCCCTGGTGGCAGCGAGAGAATGTGCAACACGGATCCAACTGCTTACCCACTAAGGACACCAAGAACCAGGTTAAGGACGAAGAATGAGCCAAGGATGATCAGACTAACAAAATACACCCAAGGCCATTCCCATCCTATCGCATCATTTACCTGTAAAATGTAAGGAGATCAGTTATCAGTTATCCGTTTACTAAAAGAACAGAGCCCCAGTTGCAGCTGCAGGACCACTCAGGGCTTTGGCTGAAGGTCAGTGTTCTAAGGAAAGGGCTCTGGCTCAGAGGAGTTTGGGGTGGGGTGGGGCTCCCTGCACAGTTTGCCTAGGGGCAGGGAGGCTGAGGTCTTCAGGAAGGGACTTTCCAAAGTCAGCCTAGACCACTCATTTAGCTAGTTTTGTGCCAATTAATGGGCATTGTATTTTGATCCAGACCAAGAAGGCAATTATAAATGTATCTCATTTTAGGACAGACAAAAGGCCAAGCAAGGGAAATTATTTAAATCCCAAGCAACAATACTGATTAATTAATTTCTGGTCAATAATCTCTCCATGGCTTTCTTTCATGACAGCTGGTGAAGTTCCAGAAAAGAGCTTGGTCTGGGGAGCCCCGCCAGAAGAGAAAGCAATACAAAGGGACTGGTACGCACCCACTGGCCCCTCCAGCAAAGGCTGTGTGGTCTTGGCAGCTGTCCCCAGGACTCTGCTTTCAAGATGAAAGAGATGTGGCTTACCCGCTCAATACACCAAGTACAAGATTTAGTACGAAAAATGACCCAAAGATGACGAGACTGACAAAATATACCCAGGGCAATTCAAATCCCATAGCATCATTCATCTGTAAGAAACAAGATGGGCTCACAGGAGCGGGTTAACGGAGGAATCTAAGGAGAGAGGGTCATGTTAGCGAGAACATTCTATACATGGAACTAAACATTTCCTTAAGACTGAACTCAGAGACAACAGTCAGCAGACATTCATCACACATTCCCAACACACACAGGCACACAAGCACACCTGCACACACCAGAGAAGACTCATGGAGGCTTCAGGTCACACGGCAGGGCTTGGTCCTAGGTAGGGAAATGAACTGAGATTCGGTTCCATCTCAGGACCCTGTCCTGCTAAGAAGCTTCCAGGGGAGGTCTCAGTAGAAGGGAGAGCTAGTGCTTTCCCGGACCCTCGTGGCTGTTCCACCCCAGGAGTTAGCCCTAACTGCTTTTAAAATTTGGTAGAAAGTCTTAATTATAGAGTCAAACCTGTAAAATGTGACTCTATAAACTCCTAAAAAGAACCAAAACCCCCCAAAAAAACAAGAAAACAAAAAACTAGTTGGGCATGGTGGCACATGTCTTTGATCCAACACCTGGGAGACAGATGGATCCCTGTAGTTCAAGGTCAGCCTCGTCTACACTGAGGGTTCCAACCAGTCACCTATACAGTGAGACCCGCTCTCAAAATAAATATATCTCTAATAACTACTGTCTATTCGAAGATAATCATCCTGTCCGTCTAACCAAGGATGCCTGACCCTCCTCACCTTTGGACTATCTGCAGCCTGTGAACACAGGACCACCAAATAAACATGGGAACCAAGAAAGCATTTCCCAAATCAATAGTTGTCAATGTTCGGGATGCTCTGGGACCGGGCTTCTTTCTCAGTTGCACCCAGTAAAAGAATCAGGCTTTAATTGCAATCTGTCCCACCCCGACTCTGTGACCTAACAGGTGTTCTAAAAGGCAGGACCAGGCCAGAGAAATGGCTGACTACTTGGAAGAATTCAACTGCTCACTCAGGCATGGCCTCCTTGTCAGGAATGGTTTGGAAGTGAGCAGCCTGCACAGGGTTGTGTGATGGGTCACAGCTGGATGGACCTTTCCAGCAGTACAGGTCAGTCTTCCATGCGACAAGCGCCTCGCTGAGAAAGGAGATGCTCCAGTGTTACCAATCAGGTAACAGGCCCTGCTCTGCAGAAGCACCCCGAACCTTCAGCCAGTCAATAATCCAGACAGGCCAAGTGCACTTCCTGTCAGGGGCAAACCTTAGGGGTTTTAAGCTCTGTGCCCTTTTGCCCATTATCTTCTTCTAGGTTTCAGCTCTACAGACAGAGGTTCATGCACCTCACAGTGTTTGCCTCATGCAGAAGCCAAACAGGAAAAGGGAACAGAAAAAAAAAGAACAACAGAAAAACCTAACATCTGTTGTTGAAATCTAGGGAGAGGGCATTAACTCCCTTATGAAACACCTGTTTGGCCACATGAAAACCGATGCGTTTAGTAGAACCCCTATCCATCTGCACATCGGCAATTAGAGGAATGAATGAGCCAGGGCTATGGCTCCAATTGTTGATCTAATTAAGTTGGATAAACTAATTTCAGCAGGAAGGCAGAGGGTAATTCTTCCAAAGCAACTACACCACCAAACTTATTTAAAAACCCACATGTGGGGGGTGGGGGGTGGGGGGCGGGGGGGGGGGTGGGGGGGTGGTAAGGCTGCCTGGCGTGGCAGACAGAGTTTCAGCCTTGAATCTTCTAGCCTCTGCCGGAGCAGGGTGTGTATGAGGCAGAGGAGAGTGAGCCAGTTCAGGGCTCTCATTAGACACCTTCCTCTTGAGACTGGCAAAGTCTGCTGACCAGGCCCTCTCCTCACCTGCCCTCCTCAGGCCTCGGTGGCATCTGAGTAAAGCTTTGGTGACAGCTGCAAAGAGAACATCTCATTTAAAGGAATTAAGATGCCTTTGAATGTCTTGGGAGTAGGGACTTTGCAGACTTGCGTCTTCTCAAATCAATGTCACCCAGGACAGCTGAGGAGGACTGAGGGAGGCAGGAGCTAAACACAGCCAACTGGAGCATCTTCTCTCTCTGCCAGAGGAGATGAAACTGAAGCTCCGAGGCCAGGCTTTTCTCCCCACACACCTGCGGCAGAACTGAGTCCTTAAAGCTCGTCATACACAGAAGGGGGAGAAATTCACAAATTCTGGGCCGGTCCCCACATCACAGACACACTAGCTGCCCCAGGCTTTGTCTGCATCTTCTTCATCAACAATGGAGATACCACCATGAGGGAAAGAACTTCGGTTTATATTAACTTTCAAAGTATTTATGTCAGTCTCCTCATAGAGGGCCACCTGTCACCCAGGCCAATTTCCTATTTTGCTTCAGTTTTCTCTTATTTTAAAGGCTTAAGTGCCCATGGATGCCTCAAGTTAAAGGAAAGCAAGAAGTTTGATTTGGTTTTTCCAACTCTCAGAAATAGCTGGAGAGCCTTAGAGCCTAGACTGTGGGAAAGCCAAGTCTTGGCTGCTTGGGCATAGAAGAATTTCCCAGGTGCTTTGACGGACAGGCGCTGTCAGGTCAAGTACTGCTAACTAAGGTCTGTCAGTCAGCACGTTCACAGCCCACAGCCCTGTACACCCCTGAGGAAAAAGCTTGGTGCTAACACAATAGGCCGTGGGGACTCATACAACGCTCTCCTAAAATCAATGCTTTGCCATTAATTTCCTACATTTCAAACATCTCCTCCGAAGTAAACAAACAAAATCCTCGAAGTTGAGGGAAAAAAGATCATGTCTACAAGATGCTAATTGTGCAGCTGGAAACGAGGGCACCAAAGCCCCGAGGGATCCAGAACCTGCCTTGTCCAGCACTTTCTCTGTGCTGCACCACCGTCTCTATGGACATTTGCGTGAGCTGAACAGCACTTTAAATACGTTTGTGGAGCTCAGTTTATGGAGACTTGACAATACATTTCCGGGGCAGCAATTCATAATCCCAACTCCGCACATCTCCAAATAGCTCTGCTCCAGGTGTGCCTTCGTGCACGTCCCTTTCCATCCGTGCCAGACATTTGCCAGAAACTCTTGAGAATTAGGACCTTAGTGCACTGGAGAACACAGACTAATAGAAACTTGTCTAGATACGAAGACTTGGTCCACCATACACAAAACCCTAAACTTTGAGAAATTTGTTTGTAATTGATATTTAAAACTGAATCTCCTTTCTCTTTCCAGCCCATCTACACTAGTGAAGCAATGGGCTCGGTCCAGTGGGCTCAGGGTGGCAACAGTCGTGTGTATTTTTTGAGCATTCACTTTCGGCCAGGCTTTGTGCTGAACGGAGATGTTCTATTCTAGGACACAGCTGTGTGGCTTCCAGCTGACTGTGGCCCATAAAATACTGGGAAAGTTTAGTTCCTCGGCTCCTGCCTATCTTTATGATGAGCTAATAAATGCCATCAACAAGTGATTAAAAATAATCCTGACGTGTTTCAGACAGTAAGGTCTTAAAGAACACTCTGGAAGATATTACTCAGCTGCCCCCTAGTGTTACAGAAGGGTCCACAAACCACTGGTAAGTGGAAGAATAATAAGGAAAGCCAGTCAAGGCCAGCTGCCCCTCAACTGTGATCTGAAGGCTGAATCCACCTTTCTTTTTATATGATTCTCAAAAGCTAAAAATTGGCTTCATGTTTTTACATGGTTGTGTCCATGCGGGAAAGTGAAAAGGAGAATATGATGTATGAAAGGCATAGGGAATTCAGGTTTCAGGGCCCATAAATGAAGTCCAGCCAAGTTAGAGCCATAGTCATTCAATCATGCTTATCCCATGGTTGGCTCCAAGCTCAATGGCAAAGTTGATGGCTGGGATGGGGCTCACATGCCTGCAAGGCCAAACATATTTACTCTTAAGCTCCGTATTAAAATGTTCACAGGCTCCTGCCACTAATCAAGGACTCCAAATACTTGCTGGAGGACCCTGAGGATGCTCGGGGGTCCCTTTCTGCAGCTCAGTCTCCGTCTTCATGACCTCAGAACGGCTATGACGTGCTGAAGACAGAGAGATGTTGAGGGGTTCCATGTGCTCCTCCATCATAACAAAGGCGTTGGGTAATTTACAGAGTATGTAACTGAATTGTCAAGTTGCTAACTATTTATTGTTATAGCAACAATAAAGATCATTTCATCATCATCATCGATGAAACTTAGAAAACCTTAAAAGAGCAAGAGGAAACTGGTGTTTCTGGGTGCAGGATGTTTTCTCTTCCTCTGCCACGCACTCCTGAAAGGGTCTCTGATAGCAGCACCATTGCTGTGAGGGAATTCATGGGAAAAACGTAAGACAAACTGTAGAACTGTCCATTAGTCAAGGCATGTTGGATCCGCAGCTAGCAATTCACCATGACAACACAGAGAAGACACGGCCGAGGCAGTCACAGACTTTTACTTTAAAAAAAAAATGACAAAAAATTCTCTCCTGTTTGGGAGAGGGAAAGGCAGAGCTTGGGGCTTTTGCGGATGACGTGTTCTACTTATAAGCCATGGCAGGGGACATTGGGACTGAGGTTTTGCTCTGCTTGGGAGCTACAGTCTAGGAGACAGGAGTGAAAGTCAACACTTCACCCAACCCTGGAGCTCAGTGGCTGACAAAGCCTGGTCTTCCTCTCCATGAGAAGGTACTGCCTGTGGCTGTAATTAACATTTGTGTCTATAGATATACGTACACACGCGTGCGCGCGCACGCACACACACACACACACACACACACATACACACACACACTCCTACAACAATCAGGAAAATGGGTGAAGGACAAACAAGATACAGCAAGTTGGTGCTCTCATTCTCCACTTAGCAGAATATACAGTCAACCCGGAGTATCTGCAGGGAGCAGCCACAGCCAAAGCCGCTCAAGCCCTTTAGATAAAGCAGCACAGTATTTGCATATGACCTATATCCACATACCCCCATATACTTTAAATCATCTCGGGACTACTTTTAATTCCTAGGAGCACATGAATAATCATTATATTATTGTTTAGGGAATAAATACAAAACAAGTCTGGACATATTCAATGAGGATTTTTTTTCCCCTGAATTATTTTCAATCGGCATTTGGTTCAATCTTCAATCAGACGTGGATTGAACCTACGGATGGAGGATCTGCAGATACGGAGGGCCAGCTGTATAGGACTGCCTATAATCTCACAAGCATAGTGGTCACCGGTGAAGGGAAGCAAACCCATGGCTACGCATCAGATGGTGCATTCTCTGATGGGAGAGAGTGATAGGAAACGTGTCAAGTTCAGGATTTAGGAACTAACAGAAGCTGCTTGCTTCTCCTTTTCTAAGCCTTTTAACCAAGAAGCTGCCTATTCAAGAAATATTATTAATTTCCTCTAAACCAGTGGTTCTCAACCTTCCCAATGCTGTGTCCCTTTAATACAGTGGTTCCTAGCCTTCCTAACGCTGCGAC